CACACACACACACACACACACACACACACACACACACACACACACACACACACACATGGTTCACAACACTCCAGCAGTGAGAGTCAAGCAGACAACAGCATATCTCAAATACTTGCTTCACCAGGTAAAAAGTGGGCAGCCACAGCCGCTCCTAGACCTGAGACAGGTGCAAGGGTAGCAGGGTCAGGGATAGCAGGGGCCTAGATGGCAGGGGTAGCATGGTGAGGGATGGCAGGGACAGAGGTAGCAGAGGCAGGGGTAACAAAGTCAGAGGTAGCAGGGGCCTGGATGGGAGGGACGGGGGTGGCAGAGAGCAACAATTAAATCACAGCAAATTATCAGTTTATTCACCATTACTAAATTTTAAAGGTTTATGAGTCAGATTAATGAGTGGGAGCAGAATGCTTGCTGTCTCAGAGATCTGGATGCTTGCTCTCTCAGAGACCTGGATGCTTGCTGTCTCAGAGACATGAATGCTTGCTCTCTCAGAGACCTGGATTCTTGCTCTGTCAAAGACCTGAATGCTTGCTCTCTCAGAGACCGGGATTCTTGCTCTGTCAAAGACCTGGATGCTTGCTCTCTCAGAGACCGGGATTCTTGCTCTCTCAGAGACCTGGATGCTTGTTCTCTAAGGGACCTGGATGATTGCTCTCTCAGTGACCTGAGTGCAGTGAGACGCAAGAAGAGAGTCTAACTCTCCAGCTACTGAAGCTACCATAAATCGTTAGGCACCTGGTGTACATGACTGGTTAATGAAGTCCTGAACTTCAAAGAGTAAGACTGAATAAGTACCCGCAGACGAGAGAAGCTTCAACAAAGAATGTGATGGGACTCTAAATACATTAGTATTCTTGCTCACTGAGGCTCCTGAGGGATACTCAACCAACTTCAGTGGGAAGGATATCTCAATCAGATTCAACTTATCATTCCTCATTCCCTGGCTATGTGACAGGAAAAAAGATACTCTTTAGAAAGTCCATAACCAGGAGTATATCACCTGGAAAATTCACCTCAGACGCCACTAAACAGGAATTACTTTTTAAACTCTTCTATCCCAACCCAAAACAAAGATCTATTCGTCCCTTGAGATGAATTCCCTCAGCATCCATAGCTAAGATCTTCTTCCTGGCTTTATCCACCACATTTTCCCAGCTTTTGCAAATTTCTTCCTTAATTATTGACCCCTGGCTCTCGATATCATTAAAAGTCACTAACTTTTCCACAGTCTACCTTGACATTCACACTGTCTCTCCCACTTATTCAGGACACTACTTACAAGATTTTCCACTGTCCTTTAATGACAATCCAAGTCTGTTCCAGTGCAGGCGGTGGTCAATAAGGTCAATGGAGTAATGTTTGCAACATTACTCCATAATGTTGCCCAACAGTCCATAGTCTGGAACTAAGGACTGTGGAGCAAAACTCTTCTCCAGGCTGAGGGGCTGACCACCTCAAAACTGCGTCTTCAAGGATGATAGACTGATTACATCGTCTTCACATCTCTACTGCTTCTGCTGCCTCTGTACTCGACTGTGAAGTCTGCTCTGTAGGCGAAAGGTTTCGGAACAAAGATACGTAACTTGCTTATCAACTTGCCGGTATTGCATACCATTATCACAGTCATTGCTCTCTCACGTTAGAAAGATGTGAAGGGAGACAGTTTACAGTGTATATGAAGTACAGAAAGAGGCATTTCTTACAGAGAGGGAGAAGTGCGTGACGTGAGAGGGAATGGTGAGAGGGGAGAAGTGACAGGTAAAAGTTAAAGAGAAGAAGGGAGAGATGAGAGGAAGTAGTGAGAGGTAAAAGGGAATAGATAAGAGGGGAAGTTACTTACTCTTAGCAACGAGGGGAAGTTACTTACCCTTAGCAACGAGGGGAAGTTACTTACCTTTAGCAACGAAGGGAAATTACTCCCCTTAGCAATGAGGGGAAGTTTCTTACCCTTAGCAACGAGGGGAAGCTAACTCCCTTAGCAACGAGGGAAATTTACCTTCATTAACAACGAGGGGAGGTTACTTCTGTCATCAATTATCTTATTAACGATTATTTATCTTAGTAAAGATCAATTATCTTAGTAACGATCAGTTAGTAGCTGCTTAGTCACAGTCAGTTACTTACGATAAAAAGAGACGCTGTAATCTTCACTGAGTATAAATTAATCAATACATCGATCAATGCCACACTAGGTACCAGCCCTCCCGTACTTAGCTAATCTAGAATCTAGCCTAACCTAACTACAGGGATGTTTGACTCACCAGTTGCAATGGTTGGGTATGCCAGGGTAGCAGTCCAACAAGGTCCTCTCTATCGTTTAGACTCACAAACAGAGATAAATCGACAAATTCACGCGAGAAATAAAGATTTGCGTAACTCAGCATTGGTACACTTCATACCACGGGCGGGATTTGAACCCACGGTCAGAGAGTCTCTGACCGCGGGTTCAAATCTCAACCGTGGTATGGTTTGTTTGCAATCGTGTCATTACGATTTCGTGAGTCATTGGTACACTTGGTGATTTACTTGGGAAATCTGCTGAGGCTTTCTAGAGTCTATCCCGAGTACTGGTAACGAGTAAGCGCTACCGCACTAGCATCTAGAGCTACGAGTCGGGTAGGTAAATGATTCACAGAACCGACAAGTTGATATATTAGATGTGGGTGTCTTTATTGTGGAAATGTTTCGCCCACCAGTGGTTTCCTCAGTCCAGGAATGGTGGAATATCAGGAGTTTGAAGTAATCAGTCCCTCAATCTGGAGTCGATGTGATCAATCCATCGATCTTTATAAGAGTGCAGCTTGTGTGCGGAGAAGTAGCTTATATACAGTAGAGAGGCGAGGTGAAGTAATTGTGGGCGGTGTCACCTCGGAGAAATCCATATATCTACATAATGTCCAGTAATGCAATAGTGTTGTGGCAGTGTTACACACTTACAAAGTCTGTTAGTTCAGTCAACTGAACTGTGCTTCTGGGAGATTCTTGTTTCTTTCTTTACACTGATCTTTTATTGGGAGGTCGGAGCTTTGAGCACAAGTGACTTTATGTAATAAACCAAAAAATGGAAACTTTATTTGAAGAATCATTATGACAGCAAGTTCTGAAGTACTTTTGTCACTGTCAAGAAGTGAGAGACACGCAGCTACTTGCAGGAGGTGCGTAAAGAAGATTAAGGCTTCCGGGGAAGTATCTTCAAACATCATCACACACTTAAAACTTTATAATGAAAAGAAGTTTGTCGAGTTTTTAAGGGAGACGCAAGACGATGCACAGAATAAATCACTGACAGAGCTGCTGGAAGTGACAACATTACACAGAATAAATCACTGACAGAGCTGCTGGAAGTGACAACATTACACAGAATAAATCACTGACAGAGCTGCTGGAAGTGACATTACACAGAATAAATCACTGACAGAGCTGCTGGAAGTGACATTACACAGAATAAATCACTGACAGAGCTGCTGGAAGTGACATTACACAGAATAAATCACTGACAGAGCTGCTGGAAGTGACAACATTACACAGAAGAATTGATTTACATTGTCATTTTTCATTAAGTAAGAGAGAGAAGTTAGTGAAGTTCAGTTCAGATGATTTTAGACAAAGAGCGTTAACACACACACACAAAACCTACACTATATTGCATGTGACCAGCTGCCACTGTATCGCATGTGACCAGCTGCCACTGTATATCGTGAAGACTCCTACTTGCCGGGATCTTCTCCCAGAAGCAGAACCTGAAAGATGGAGGCCACAATGAAAGAAGAAATCCAAGATCTCGGCCGAGTTTATTTAGCATTAAATCTCCGGTCAAGCCACAAGAGGATGTCATTCCTTGGGCAACAGTTTACTTTATAACAAGAACTGAGTACTGAAGTGGCTGTCTTTGTGCTTAACATTATTCTATTACATGTTTAAACTACATTTTGTATACAACAGAAAGAAAGAGAGATTGTTTTGCAGTTATTGCTTGTCATATATTTGAAGAGAGATATACAGCTTTTAACACAGCAGCTGCATATAAGGAGTTGGTTGCTCGTGATGCTGTAAGAGGCGAAGAAAGTTGTAGCAGACAATGTCTTATCAGTAATTAAGGCTTATGATGTGTGTCTCTCTGGTTTTCACGTTGCTGAACCTAAAGTTGAACCTCGTCAGAATCAGGAAGACGCAGATGTCATCGACGAGGAAATGAATCCAACTAGACTCACGAAATCGTAATGGCACGATTGCAAACAAACCTGAACCTGGGAAGTTTTCCATATTTTTTGCCAGGACGTATGAGTTTTTTTTTCTCACGTTCAGCAACTGTGAATAAAAAATAGTCTCTTTAGTCCAGCGCTCAGTAATTATTTCCTATCTACTACAAATGAGAAAAAAAAAATTTCTTGTGAATTCAATCAGAAGGTCAACTGCACCATTCATCAAACAGAAAGTTGTTATTTGTAATTTCCAAATGTAACAAGATGGAAGTCATATTTAAAGATGATCAGGTCAGTTCTGAAAGGATCTGAACATGTCAACTTTAGTAATGTCAGGCTGAGCTGGGAGACTTCAGTAGTGTCAGTCTGAGCTGGGAGACTTCAGTAGTGTCAACCTGAGCTGGGAGACTTCTGTAGTGTCAACCTGAGCTGGGAGACTTCAAAAGCGTAAGACAGAGGTTTCAGGCTTCAGTAGGGAAGTATTCTGGTAAAGCTTCATCAGCTACGACAGCTTCAAGGGCTTCCTTCCAGCAGAGCTGCAGTTACTATCACCTGAGAATTACCATCTCTCAGGATGACCATCTCATACACAGCAGAAATAGAATTTACATGAGGAAACCTGCATTATCAAGAGCAGAATAAAGGTGAGGGAGGGAGAGGAGGGAAGGACGAGGGAGAGACAGAGAGGGAAAGGGTAAAGGAAGGGCCGGGAGAGGGAATGGGTAATGGCCATCACCATAATAACACAGATGATAATCACTTTACTACACATCAAAAATGTATATAATTCAATAATTAAACATTTACCTATAATTATATTATACCTTTGATATCTTCAGTTACATTACAGCTGTGAGTTACAAGTGTTTCTACACTGAAGATGGTGATGGTGGCCAGGTGATGGTGGCCAGGTGATGGTGGCCAGGTGATGGTGGCCAGGTGATGGTGGTTAGGTGATGGTAGCCAGGTGATGGTGGCCAGGTGATGGTGGCCAGGTGATGGTGGTCAGGTGATGGTGGTCAGGTGATGGTGGCCAGGTGATGGTGGTCAGGTGATGGTGGCCAGGTGATGGTGGTCAGGTGATGGTGGCCAGGTGATGGTGGCCAGGTGATGGTGGTCAGGTGATGGTGGTTAGGTGATGGTGGCCAGGTGATGGTGGTCAGGTGATGGTGGTCAGGTGATGGTGGTCAGGTGATGGTGGCCAGGTCAGTGAGGATACAGGAGGCACTCACCATCCACTCGGGTATATGTCTTAACGACAGATTCGTAATATTTGCCCATGCACTCGCTCTACTGCGCGTATATTGCTGCTCTCAAGGACTGTCTTCTACGTTGAGTGGGTTCCTGTAGTAGGATCCTCCTCCCTTGATCATCCTTGTGTTGTGTTGAGGTGTTTGCAATGCAAACGTATCGTGTAGATCGAAGATTTCCCTTATTGAGATCCAGTAATGTTTACAACTCAATATGGAGGGTTGAATGATGGGACTCCTCCCACATTCACACGGTGCGGCCACTGAGGGCCCGCCCGTTCGAATGGGCGGAGTCAGTAGCCCTAGTGGCTGCCAGGGCGGCACAGGGGTGGCGAGAGGCGGGGCAAGCCTCATAAACTGGGTGGGAACTACAAGATCATCTCAATGCCATTACGGGCGGACAGTTACAGCTAAACCGTGAGCAAAGAGCAACGCGGTACCACCGTGCCGTGGCCCCAGTGACACTCGCCACCATTATGGATTCTGATTAAGAGGGTTTTGTGTGTGTGTGATGGATTAAGGCGTGGCGGCGGCGTGGATGCAGATAGAGTAAGGGTTGACCATGTTAAGTGTGGCAGTGTGGGACGTCTGCTCAACCATGGCCCGCACTCCACTCAAACATTCCTTCTCCATCAGCTCCATCCTGCCGGAGACGGCGCTGGACACTCCTACGGTCCTTCCCAGGGACGTGCCCACGCCTAAAGACGAGCTGCTCATGGACGACGTGGAGATGACCACAGCTGAAGACGACGAGGAGGACGAGGTTGATATTGACGTCACTGGCGCTGTCAGTCCTGGGGCCATGTCTGAGTCTGAGGCCGAAGACCACAACGACAAAGACGACAAAGAAGTGAAAAAGGATGACGACAGCGAGAAGAAAGACGGGGAAAAGAAGAAGAAACACGAAAAACCTCCGTTCAGCTACAACGCTCTCATCATGATGGCCATCAGGTCCTCTCCTGAGAAGAGACTCACTCTGAACGGCATCTACGAGTTCATCATGAAGAACTTCCCATATTACCGTGAGAATAAACAAGGATGGCAGAACTCCATCCGCCACAACCTGAGTTTAAACAAGTGTTTCGTTAAGGTTCCTCGGCACTACGACGACCCCGGCAAGGGTAACTACTGGATGCTCGACCCCTCGGCTGACGATGTGTTTATCGGCGGTACTACGGGCAAGTTGCGGCGTCGCTCCACCACGGCATCGAGAAACCGCTTGGCAGCCTTTAAGCAGTCACTCTTGGGCCGCTTCGGTTGCTATCCACCTTTTGGTCTGACTCCGTACGCCGCGGCGGCGGCTGCGGCGGGACTAGGCGGGGCTCTAGCTCCTGGTTCCTTGCCTGTATCCTTGCCAGGGGCTCTCCCAGGGGCTCTTGCTTCAACGCCGCTATACCAACAAGCCACCGCTGCTGCCGCAGCCGCAGCTGCCTTGTACCGCGGGTACTCACCGTCCTACTACTCCAGCCCGTTACCCTCTGGTCCAGCGCCGCTGACGGGTCCAGCGCCGCCCTCTGGTCTACCCAAACCCACCGCCCTCACTCCCGCCGCCGCCCACCCGCCCACCACATCCTTTAGCGTAGACCGATTGTTATCCGATACGCCCGTGAGTGCGCCGCCCTTACTGGGCGGCCCACCTCCCTTATTACTGGGTGGGCTGGGCGGTGCTCACACCCTCTCTCCCTATGATGTGTATCGTAGCTCCCTACTGTCACAAGCGGGTCTGGGACATACCCTGGGGGGTATGGGTGGTGCCCTCAACCCTGGTCTGGGTATGGTGGGTGTTGGTAGCCCCGGCAGCAGCAACCTGGCTACCATCGTCACCAGCAGCAGCAGCAGTAGCAGCAGCAGTAACAGCACCGGTAACAGCAGTAACAGCGAGGCTGCCGTCCGTCAGACAGTGTACAAACCTGTGACGGTAGTGGCCAGACCTAGCTAATGACCAGACCTAGCTAGTGGCCAGGCCTAGCTAGTAGTGCTGCAGACGCCCGCACGCCCGCCCTGACCGCCCAAGCCGTGTATATACTGTATGTATGGACCGCTGTGTACAGTGTACGCGTGTGACTGTGTCTTACACCAAAGTTGTACAACACTGTGTGTACAAGTTTTAAATTATATATAATGATAAAAATAATACTGATAATGATAATAATAATAATTCAGATGGTAATGAGGTGTTTTCTTAACATTCCATTTTGACCCAATCAATTCAAGAGATCTTGATTCAAGGAACTGGAGTTACCCTCCACTTCCTCGGGTCAAACCTCATTTCCTGCATTTCCCAATTTGATGTGTGACCCCGTGAAAGTAATAATAATAATAGTAATAATAATAATAATAATAATAATAATAATAATAATAATAATAATAATAATAATAATAATTAATTTTGATCCAGTAGAGCGGACTTCGCTGTTCCAGATTTACATACATAATATATATATATATATATATATATATATATATATATATATATATATATATATTATTATATATATATTTATATATATATATATATATATATATATATATATATTATTATAAATATATATATATAATATATATTATATATATATATATATATCACCATGGCAACCATCTCCCTTCGATATATCGTTTTCCCTAAAAAATAGGAACCACATTCACCATTCTTCACTCAAACATTATCTTGGCAAAAGCAGGTTGGCATCTCATTTTAGATGACTTTCTGAAATACAACATCTTCCCCCCCCCCCTCAGAGTGCAAGCAATGCACTTCACACCTCCAGGACTCAAGTCCAGCTGTCTGCCTGTTTTCCCTCATTCCCTTCATAAATGCTACATTTCTCGCACTCCAACAGCACGTCAAGTCATAAAAGACACTTTATCTCCACTGTGATCTAACAAGAACACAGAAGCCTTCTGGATGCTGAGCTCTTAGTACTCAAAACTGGCTCTATCCCCTCCAGCTCTTCATGGGACGACCTCTATCCTTCTTCCATTCTACATTTATACACCCTCTTGGTCAGATCATTCCACCCCATCCTCTCTATACAAGCAAACCTCTCCAACAACCTCTCCTCAACCTCTAACTCACACCTACCCTTATCCTACTACTAATTTTCAATGCTCCAAACTCTTCCTCTCACACATAGCATCTCCACTAACGATTAAATCCCACTGTTCTCAACCACACTGAAGTGATAGTGACACTATACTCTCGTAAATTCCTCTCTTTACCACCATAGATAAACTTCTCGACACAGATGGTTCAACGAACGTCCCAACTGTCTCCTTCCCTTTATGGTTCACTTTGTCTTTCAGAGAACACTCAGCAGACAAGTTCACTCTCAGAACCATCAGCAGACAAATTCACTCTCAGAACCATCAGCAGACAAGTTCACTCTCAGAACCATCAGCAGACAAATTCACTCTCAGTACCATCAGCAGACAAGTTCACTCTCAGAACTATCAGCAGACAAGTTCACTCTCAGAACCATCAGCAGACAAGTTCACTCTCAGAACTATCAGCAGACAAGTTCACTCTCAGAACTATCAGCAGACAAGTTCACTCTCAGAACCATCAGCAGACAAGTTCACTCTCAGAACCATCAGCAGACAAGTTCACTCGCAGAACCATCAGCAGACAAGTTCACTCTCAGAACTATCAGCAGACAAGTTTACTCTCAGAACCATCAGCAGACAAGTTCACTCTCAGAACCATCAGCAGACAAGTTCACTCTCAGAACCATCAGCAGACAAGTTCACTCTCAGAACCATCAGCAGACAAGTTCACTCTCAGAACCATCAGCAGACAAGTTCACTCTCAGAACCGTCAGCAGACAAGTTCACTCTCAGAACCGTCAGCAGACAAGTTCACTCTCAGAACCATCAGCAGACAAGTTTACTCTCAGAACCATCAGCAGACAAGTTCACTCTCAGAACCATCAGCAGACAAGTTCACTCTCAGAACCGTCAGCAGACAAGTTCACTCTCAGAACCATCAGCAGACAAGTTCACTCTCAGAACCATCAGCAGACAAGTTCACTCTCAGAACCATCAGCAGACAAGTTCACTCTCAGAACCATCAGCAAACAAGTTCACTCTCAGAACCATCAGCAGACAAGTTCACTCTCAGAACCATCAGCAAACAAGTTCACTCTCAGAACCATCAGCAGACAAGTTCACTCTCAGAACCATCAGCAGACAAGTTCACTCTCAGAACCATCAGCAGACAAGTTCACTCTCAGAACCATCAGCAGACAAGTTCACTCTCAGAACCATCAGCAAAACAAGTTCACTCTCAGAACCATCAGCAGACAAGTTCACTCTCAGAACCATCAGCAGACAAGTTCATTCTCAGAACCATCAGCAGACAAGTTCACTCTCAGAACCATCAGCAGACAAGTTCACTCTCAGATATCTGAACACAATCACTTACTCCTTCTAAACACATCGTCACTTTCATAACCTAACTTAACTGTTCTTTCTGTTTCCAAGGTTCACCTATAATTTAAATTTTTAATGTAATTCATCCTTAGATGATTAGATAAATATACTGGAATAACACTC